TTCAAATTTACTCAGGTACAGATTCAAACTTTAAACTTGTCAGTTATAAGGTTAGTTTTAAGACATCGTAATTGTTGCTAATAACCCCATTTGGGTATGCTTGACCAAACTGAGTTACTCTGCGTCTTTGTGCACTTCAAATAAGTTAAAGCTAAGGCAGGCAAATATTATCACGCCAGCACACTAAAGGTCTTCTGCAATGCTTATCAGTGTAAACATGTACAGCACACCACTGAACGCAGATATTAAAAGAATAACATACATTGTATCCGGCGTGTTTAAAGGGGGGATAATTACTCGTATATGAGATTCCAATTTCCATAATAAATACACAGCGACACATAGAAATAAAATAGATTCCATTTTGCCACGGTTATCGCAATTATTCAGAAAATTTTGCATGTCATGGGACAATTTGGGCCGTCACAGATGGCTACCCTTTATAACAATCTCTTATGAGATTATACCAGGAAAACGCACCTTTCTTTATAGAACATTCGACTAACTTTGAATGTCGGAACGGGTTCACTGACCACTGGAAATTATGAATAAATTTCCGTTTACCCCAGAAAAATTGAAGACGCAATTGCTTTCCCTTTTAGAATCGGAAATGTAGCATTTGAAACCAACTTAACCATACGTGAAACGTTCGTGGCAACACCGGTATGTTCGTTTGGCCGTCTTATACTGCATACATGATTATTTTCCACAAAGGCTGCTGCATATTACATCATTGTAAACCTGGGCGTACGCTGTAGTCAACGCCTGAGGAATGATTCAGGATGTTTCCTGTTGTTTTATTAGAAGATACTCCCATCCATCTCATGGCGGATCTTCCAGACAGAAAACACAGTGTCCTGGCTTTGATTACCTAGGGGCCTCAGCAGCTCTCCCACTTTAAACATCTTTTATAACGATTCTCAGAAAATTAACAACAGAGAAGACCCTGATGATTTATCTTTAAACCAGTAATAGAGTGCATCGTGTCAGTGTTTGTTCTGTTTGTGAAGGGCCATCTGCTTACCACTATGGAGCAGTGACCAGTGGGTTGCAAAATATATCAGTTATCGGCTGCCTTCTTCACTGTATGCGTTCTTGGGCACAAGTTCAGTCGTTATCGTTTATCTTTAAATATGGATGTTACAGTAAATCTATTAACGTTACTTGAAGCAGACTTCCAGACGAATAAGCAATAGGCATATGTTTTTATTCATTCAGGGAACCCGACCATGGAACCGGAGTATTTAACTATTCTTTTTATTGATGTCACGAGCTGAGACCTGTATGTGTATGTGAGCAGGGGCGGATCCAGGATTATTTGAAGGAGGGTCCGTGGATGCAAAGCCACCCCCCGTTTGGCGTATTTTAGAGGGCGAACGACGCTTTTAGATACGGTTATAAACTATGATTTAGCTAGTCAATATTCTAATTTCACGAGGAGATCATTGGTGTGATTTTTTTCAGAAATCCGCCACTGTGTGGGCTTAATCAATCCACCACATGCACGTACATGTAGGCGCCCATTTCGCTCAATATGGCCGAAGCGATCAAAATGTATTTTCATAAATAAAGTGCTTCAACTAAATCTTCATAATGCCAACAGATTATTGCAGTTATTTACGACAAGATAAAATGTCAAGGAAGTGTTAATGCACTCCTGGTACTGGTATGTACCGGTGTGAACTTTTCATTTTTTTTTTTTTTTTACCCTATATTTAGAGAAGACCCTTTCGGTTCTAATCAAATTAAGAAAAAGTTCAAAAGATCTATTTATCTCGTACATAGACATAAAACAATCTATACTCCCTCCGGCAGACTGAAAACCAAGGACTTTTGACTGAAAGGAAAGACATGATCAAAAAAATCCCTACAGTTCTGAAAAATGAGATTTGCAAGCTCTGCCTTAATTCAAAAAGCCTGTTATTTCCTTGTCTGCACCACCCACTATGAATTGAAATAATTTCAGAGACACAAGTTACATATCATCCGCAATGGTAAATGCTTATATATTGATTTCCGTAGGCTGAGGTTGACCACGTGTAAGGTAAAATTACATCCATTCAGTAGCAGTTAGTCATTTGAGACCTCTTGAAAACCACAACAAACGAATCAACGTAGCCCACAAAAATGTCGAAAGACTTTCTACTTTGCAACGCACGGTATTTTGTTATAAATACATATCTGGTAAAGTACCTGAATGGCGCGTAATTGAAGTCAGCAATATAAAGCAAAATCCCAATTCTGTACGCGTGTGTGGTTAACGATTCCACTTGATTCTAAGAGCTAGGATCATATGTGCTCTCTTTAACATACTGAAACGGCTTGCAGCTATCTAAAGGTTAAGAGAGAGCACATACCAGCCACACGAGGGCTAAAGGGAGGCGGGGAGATCGTTCACCCTCCCCTTAAAAACGTACGGTGAAGTTGTTTTGGAGATGAAACCAGTATGCCACCTTGGCACCTAGGGTTCAATGGTTGAATACGCCCATTTAAAAGCGATGTTTTTATGAGTTTGTTTTGATCAAATACACACCTGAGTACGTTATCTGAGTGGGTAGGAAACAGCCTGGATTTGTTCAAATGTTTAGTAACTGATTCAACTCGGCATTTTACAGTGTTGTTGCAATTACGATCGGCATTGCGTCTAATAGGCCGCCTCTTTAAGAGTTTAACTCTCTCTCTCACTCTCCCTCTGTATCTCTCTCTCTCTCTCTCTATCCATCTATCTATCTGTGTGTGTGTGTGTCCCTTCCTCTCTCTCTCTCTCTCTCTCTCTCTGTTTGTCTTTGTCCCTTCCCCTCTCTCTCCCTCTGTATCTCCCTCTCTCTCTGTGTGTGTGTGTGTCTGTGTCCCTTCCCTTCTCTCTCCCTCTGTATCTCCCTCTGTGTGTGTGTGTGTATGGGTGTGTGTGTGTGTGTGTGTGTGTGTCCCTTCCTGTTTCTCTCTCTCTCTCTCTCTCTCTCTCTCTCTCTCTCTCAGTCGGTTAATGAGATAAGCCATATGCCTTGTTTTGCGTCAGTAACGTGTTGTTTTGGGGTTAGCCACAGATTAGAAAAGAGATCACAGCCAATTAATTACAATAAGGACAATAATAACAACAATCCAGGACAACAACATTTCCTCTAGTCGCAATTAACCCGGTGAACATAAACGTTAATTCCCTAAGGCAAATCCCCTTTCCTCTTTCTAATTAACTTTATCAATATCCATGCTTTACAATTGTGTTTCTATTCCCACCGTAAATTCCCAGGAAAGCTTTGCGCTGTCGTTTTTTTTTTTTTTTTTTTTTTTTTTGGCGTTATATTACCATCACTTTGCATCAGTATTGGTGTCGTATATCTATTACCGTGACGTCAGCGATGTCTGCTAAAGAGCAGACGACATCCGGACGAGATGTCCCTCATCAGGTTACACACTTTGGTTAAGTAAATAAACAGGGTGATATCATTTCTCACGTGGAAGCTAGCACAGAGGGAGTAATGGCTTCATGCATCTAGTGGGTAAGTGAATGGTATTTTAGTCTACCCTGTCACTTTACCACAACCAAACAAATTTACAAATACATCTTTACATAGACTTTAACGATTTTGGACCTTGTACAACCAATAAGTTCAGACACACACTAGAACATCCAGAAGACCGTACAATACGCTCAACATAGTGATCCTATTTTTTAGGGCGCATCCCCATAGATTTTAGATCGATCTATCCTCGTGGGGAGTCTCACTAGATTACTGTCAACTAATCCGGCTTAAATGTCCGTCCCGCCTACTACAAGCTGTAAGGGGGTAATTAACTTTCGTGCCCGCTCGGCTAACATCTATTTAGCGTGAACACCCAGGGAGTTAGGTCAATCTAGTTGGATCGATCTAATCTCCGGGAATGGGGTCTAAGATTTAAAGGTTTCTCAACACAGAAGGAAGGGGGCAGCTTGTATCCGGCGGTGTTTAATTACCTTCATGAAAAGGGTTAGTTCCTGCACAGGGCTCAGGTCTGCCCGACATTGTGTATAGTTGGACCAAGTGTTTAATTACCTTCATGAAAAGGGTTAGTTCCTGCACAGGGCTAAGGTCTGCCCGACACTGAGTATAGTTGGACCAAGTGCCGTTGTAGACAGGGTGGTAGAACCAACTGCCATTCTGCAAGCACTCTCTGGAAGCGTTTTCTGGAAAGAGAGTGGTATGTAATTGAACGGAGCGTTCGATAGAATGGAATCGACCGGCCGACAGACATACAAACAGACAGAAATTAACCATGCAGCAATGGTCTGCTAGTTCAGTTTATCTACTATAGTTTCGCTATACTTGTACTCTCTACCCGGAGTGCTGATTGATAGTGTGCACATTTCCCCAAGGCGAACAGAGACATCTGTAAATGTCCAGTGAAATTTCCATCTGTGACCTTATTAGAGGGCACTGTTCTATTACATTCGAGCTTTTTAATATATATATATATATATATATATATATATATATATATATATATACATTTTATTAATGTTTTTATTCATTTATTAACCTGTTCTATTCTATTCATTTATTAATCTATATTTTAATTGACACTGTTAAACTTATCCTATTTCTTGTTGTTCATTTAATCTGTATTCATGCATTACTTTACCTCTCACATCAAACATGTTGATATAGTTAGGACAGCTCTGTATAGTTGTGGTCCCAACAGGGGTGTTCGGCCAACAGAAAAGTCCATCCCACGTCCTATTACAATAGGCACCTACAGATATAAATCAGAATGTACTTGAAAGCAACCCAGAGCGCATTCAGAACAGCGGACTTACTAATCCGCGGATCAAATACGGCGACCCACTGAAAACTTTAGACACTGAATCAATTCCCCAAGAGGATTACGAAAGACGCATTCATGTGGGTTGGCATACATAAATTGGCCTGAGGAGGGGGGCAATTGTCAAGAACCAAGACATACACGAATCTTAAGTCTTGGAGTAAGGTCAAACCTTAGGTCTCATTTGATTTTTCAATCAGACTATGGGCTCATTCCCAATTAAACTATGGTCCCATTCCCAAAGACACCATCGGTCTATTTAGGCTCTGCAGGGACTCCCGCTGAATGCAATCTGTTTAACAGATTCACACTCCTCCCCCTGGTGTGAAGTAACATGCAGAAAATCTGGTGGTTATTCGAGCACGTTAGAAACAAGAGGGGAGGTGTCATTCATTCATTTATGCTGATTGCACTCACCGAGAGTCCCCGCAGAGTTAGATGGATCTACATTAATCGATCTAACTTTGTGAGGACTCTCGGTGTATACAAACAGACTAACAGATGAGCACGTTTCCTCTTGGCCTTGATAAGAATATGGAAAGGCTCGTTATTATACACCAACGTTGGAAGCAAGAGGAAGCGTGTTACTTTCTTAATTTCATTGCATTCAGCGAGAGTCCCCCCGGAGTTAGCTTAATGTACGTAGACAGATAGTCCCATTGTGAATGAGTCCTATGCCTTGGAGACGCTTAAGTACTTAAAAGTTAACTGCGGTTGTTGACGTGAGCATGAAAAGCATTTTTACAAAAAATGCGAAATGAAATGTCAAATATACCTTCCGTAGGCGGAGGTTCAGATGCCATCTTTTCGTAGCACTCTTGTTCCTTTGCTTGGAGAAGCTCAAATTGCTTCGCTCTCGGTATGAGCACCACATTCTTAAAACATAATGAAAAATATGTAAGATGCATAAATGTACAAAATGCTTGCGTTATNTGTTTAATTACCTTCATGAAAAGGGTTAGTTCCTGCACAGGGCTAAGGTCTGCCCGACACTGAGTATAGTTGGACCAAGTGCCGTTGTAGACAGGGTGGTAGAACCAACTGCCATTCTGCAAGCACTCTCTGGAAGCGTTTTCTGGAAAGAGAGTGGTATGTAATTGAACGGAGCGTTCGATAGAATGGAATCGACCGGCCGACAGACATACAAACAGACAGAAATTAACCATGCAGCAATGGTCTGCTAGTTCAGTTTATCTACTATAGTTTCGCTATACTTGTACTCTCTACCCGGAGTGCTGATTGATAGTGTGCACATTTCCCCAAGGCGAACAGAGACATCTGTAAATGTCCAGTGAAATTTCCATCTGTGACCTTATTAGAGGGCACTGTTCTATTACATTCGAGCTTTTTAATATATATATATATATATATATATATATATATATATATATATATACATTTTATTAATGTTTTTATTCATTTATTAACCTGTTCTATTCTATTCATTTATTAATCTATATTTTAATTGACACTGTTAAACTTATCCTATTTCTTGTTGTTCATTTAATCTGTATTCATGCATTACTTTACCTCTCACATCAAACATGTTGATATAGTTAGGACAGCTCTGTATAGTTGTGGTCCCAACAGGGGTGTTCGGCCAACAGAAAAGTCCATCCCACGTCCTATTACAATAGGCACCTACAGATATAAATCAGAATGTACTTGAAAGCAACCCAGAGCGCATTCAGAACAGCGGACTTACTAATCCGCGGATCAAATACGGCGACCCACTGAAAACTTTAGACACTGAATCAATTCCCCAAGAGGATTACGAAAGACGCATTCATGTGGGTTGGCATACATAAATTGGCCTGAGGAGGGGGGCAATTGTCAAGAACCAAGACATACACGAATCTTAAGTCTTGGAGTAAGGTCAAACCTTAGGTCTCATTTGATTTTTCAATCAGACTATGGGCTCATTCCCAATTAAACTATGGTCCCATTCCCAAAGACACCATCGGTCTATTTAGGCTCTGCAGGGACTCCCGCTGAATGCAATCTGTTTAACAGATTCACACTCCTCCCCCTGGTGTGAAGTAACATGCAGAAAATCTGGTGGTTATTCGAGCACGTTAGAAACAAGAGGGGAGGTGTCATTCATTCATTTATGCTGATTGCACTCACCGAGAGTCCCCGCAGAGTTAGATGGATCTACATTAATCGATCTAACTTTGTGAGGACTCTCGGTGTATACAAACAGACTAACAGATGAGCACGTTTCCTCTTGGCCTTGATAAGAATATGGAAAGGCTCGTTATTATACACCAACGTTGGAAGCAAGAGGAAGCGTGTTACTTTCTTAATTTCATTGCATTCAGCGAGAGTCCCCCCGGAGTTAGCTTAATGTACGTAGACAGATAGTCCCATTGTGAATGAGTCCTATGCCTTGGAGACGCTTAAGTACTTAAAAGTTAACTGCGGTTGTTGACGTGAGCATGAAAAGCATTTTTACAAAAAATGCGAAATGAAATGTCAAATATACCTTCCGTAGGCGGAGGTTCAGATGCCATCTTTTCGTAGCACTCTTGTTCCTTTGCTTGGAGAAGCTCAAATTGCTTCGCTCTCGGTATGAGCACCACATTCTTAAAACATAATGAAAAATATGTAAGATGCATAAATGTACAAAATGCCTGCGTTATATCCAATGTAATCTTATATTGCACTTGTATTGCCTTCATCTTCAATTTCACAATACTAAGCAAAAAATAGAGAACTGACTTAATGTTTGTTTTACTATCTATTGATCAAGACTAAATTATTTTGACATATGGTTTTAAAACCTACATACAGCAACCATGGGAGGGGACTAGATTGACCAATTATATGTTTTAGAACGATTCAAAAATGATCCCTGCACGTTGTTAAAGTCCTCCATATTTAAATGTTCGGTATAGTTGTGGTCCCTCAGTTATACAAATGCTAAATACTTCTGTAGATCTTGGGATTTGGAAAGTCCTAACATACATGTGTACACACACTTACATGCAGGTCGGGTATAGCGCACGGCGTGAGTTAGAGCAATCTAAAAGACCAGTCTCTCACTGGGTGGTAATTAATTATATTCCTCCATCCTGGTATCTAAGCATTATATAAACGCCCTGTTAAATTAAAGCAAGAAGTTATAATGAGAAGGAGTAGAAACAAGGGGTTTCCCTTCATCCTATCCTCGTAACGGGCTTAATCCTAATAATTACCCAGCTTGTGGTCTTAGGGAGAGCTTGTGCCTAATACATATTCAAAAGACCGTTCATGTGGGTTGCTTCAGCCAATTGGGATAAAGCCTCGCGAAGTCTCTAATAATCTCACAGAGAAAACATGGTGGGATTACAGAAAGGTGTAGAGAGAGATTTCAAGCCTGGACGCAACCATTTCGGGAAATAAAACTCAAATCATGCAAGATACACCTTCATTTGATCTAGAGCCGATCAATTATACAAAAATTAGTTTCACATCAAGAATGTATTAGAACAATTTCACAAACCCACCTTCAACGCTAAAATTTGCACCTGTAGAAGTCTCATATTTATTTTAAATTATTTTTGTCGTGTAAAGGAAATTTACCTTCATCTAGGAATGACACATTCAATTCACAGCCATGTACACAAAACAGTATACTGTATACTATATAGTACTTGCAATTTCCGTATGCCAGCCTCGTTTCTTTCTTTTTTGGCACATTATTGCTTATATGCCAGGTAGAGCTTAAACAGGAAAATTGGGGAAATGAAAATAAGTTATTGCACTTAGTACGATTCTAAATAAAATTTCATTATTACATATTTTTGTTTATATCTTTGTCTATTACATGAGGCCAACTAATAGTAGACTGATAGTTTAAATTCATTAGAAGAAAAAATCAAAGAAATATTTTTATTGATTGATATTGCTTTATTTCAACATTCGAGCAACTTGTAAAATATCTAAAACAAAGTACCAGCAATGAAAATATATCAATATTGTTACACCCAACAGTGATTAAAGCAATACAAAAATGGTTAGTTTTTATTTTGATGTGGTGATTATTTTATTTTAAACTTTAGACAATTAGCCAGTGAACACTAAATTCCCTTTTAAAACTCGGACCACTNCCCCTGGCACTACAGACACGAATGTAAACACCCCTTCACCCCCTACCCCCCAACCCCCCATGAGCCTGACTGTCCAATGATCCTGGATACACTAGTATCTGTGGTGGCAGGTATAGACTACCCTCTACAATGGTGGCAGATTCTACAGGGAAAAACGGTAAAACACACAGAGCCAAATGACTGTATATTTATCTAGAGATATATCTGTGGATATCTGTGAAATATCAATCTGTCGCCCTGGTTGAGGGGGGTAGGTATACACACTTTAAAAGTACACTACCGGATATAAGCTGTGACAGATTAACGCATAAACCTGACAAATGCTGCAGCCATAAAAACAATGTAAAACATCTACGAATTGTGTAGATAGTTCAGTTGTACATTTTAGTGGTGCTTCGCGTTTCGCTGCGGTTGAAATAATTAGCAACACATGTTGACATAAGACTTTGCACATTTATTAGTTAATGTTAGCCTAGTAAAGAAATAGGATTTGGTAACTTGCTTTACTATGCGTGCTCAAGGACAAAAACATTCAATTAGATCCGTGAAAGTTTCTAAATTATCCCCTATGCCTGACGTGCAAGCTCAGGAATAATCTGATATATCAATCGATTTTTTGGCTTTTGCATGTTACCGAGTAATGGGGATATTTAATTATCTTTTTGTTTGGATTAAACTATATTGGAGCAAGGTCAATGGTTATGAAACTTTCAGAATCAACGTGGGCTTATCTTGTCTTCATCAGCGTCTGTGAAGAAGATGTATCAGTGCAGATCTGATCTCCGGAAAAAGGCGGAACACGCACCCCCTTATTAAGACCCCATTATCTTAGAAGGTTTTATCATTACTTAGTAATTGGCTAGTTGGGTTTTAAGAGGTTTCAGTTAGATGGAATGATCAGGGAAACCACACGGAACTGATTTCGTATAATATTCACTTACTGAATGCAGTGTACTAAAAAACGTTTTATTCAATGTTTTCGGAGTCCAACTTGTATCTATTTGTAAAAATACTATAAAAGAACACTGTTACGTGTAACTTTCTTAATGCCGAACCTTCTGAGGCAATTCCTCGCTTATTGTTATTGGATTTTACGCAACAAATTTCCAGCAGGCGTGCTTATAAGGTCATAACATCTGTCTGAAATAGGTTCTGTCTGAAATAGTTTTGGCACATTTTGCAAATGACAACATCTTGCTCTCCTGCTGTTTGACTGAAAGTGTGTTAACCAATACACGTATCTAAAAAGGGAAAACTGAGAACCTCATAAACACTTTTTTACTTCTTATTGAAATTGTGCGTTTTGAATTGCTCCTTTACGGTTTGCTGAGGAAGGATGTGTCCCCCTTGAGTTTGACTATCATGGTAAATAACATATTGTTGATAACTACAGTGATAATCTCGATCATCAGATACCCACGTGTATATTTCACAATGGAACAGTTAGCAGCCACTCTCTGTGCACTCGAAGTGAAACAGGAATGTCTCGTTTTTGCAGGAAGTACGAAGTACCATCAGATAAGAAGTACGTCACTGATCCTATTCCAAGTCCAACATTATTTTCATTTCAAGTATGTCTGTACTTATGATAAAACATCGTCACCATTTAGATCCAAATTTATTGACGGCCTGTGCCGGGCCCAAATTGCAGTGGAGAGGCATAAAATACATCGATTAAACAGCCAATCGCGTCTATCTCATGGGCAATAAAATCTTTCGTAACGGTTTAATCCATAAGCAATAAATATCTTGAAAGCTGAATAAATAATATTGCTATTTACCATGCGGTCTTTTTCCAGTTTTACTAGAAATTCAACGCAATTACCAACGGCTTTATCCAAATGAGATTGACTTGCTTTTGACCTGGCATTCACGATCAAGTAATTGTTTGAACTGGTGGCCATATGTAGAAGAACGGGTTCGAAACAGAAAGGGATCAAGTACTTTTATTTTGACAAAAATCGATGCGATTAAGTTATTGTGAAAACTAGTAGCCGTCTTTGTCTTTGAAAGTGACTTTTATCAGATTTGGGGTTGTTACAATTTTTTCTTCGAAAAAGTATATTAGAAACACAGTTGGGCGACGCCACATCAATACATTTATCACTATTTTATCCAAGAGTGTACGATCACCAAGCCTTTGATACGGCCGATTGTTTAAGGGAAAGATTATCTTTCACATAAGCACCGGCAGAACAGCTTAACGGCTACTGCTTCCCTAGAAACCCGTTCCACTAAAGCCACATTATAATGAGAAATTCGACACGCTACCACGGTGTAGCTTTACATATACATGTACATACATGTAGGCCTATATACGCGAGCTAAACACAATTGTGATTTTACCGTTTTTGCGTCAGCGAAAGTTGCATGCTGAATCGAACAAGCTAGTTTTGAGACACTCTGTGGCATGGTGTTCGCAAATAATAAAGAAATATTCACGAAATCACGAGCAGATCTGATGTGATACCAAAGTCAAATGAAGCATCATCCTTTGTTACTTGTAGCTATTCTATACACCACATGGCTGTCAGACTAAAATACCAATTTTCTGAAACACTGAATCTGTTCATGCATCCTCTTAGCTGAAACAACTTGAGAAATGACAAAGACTTAAGTTCAATTTTTGATTCAGGACGGACCTTTATTTTGCCAAAAGGGTTTAGTCATTTTGACCCTTACGATCCTTCCCCCCTTCCACGCCTACTGATATCCACGTTGAGGATTGGACATTTCATAACAAAACTCAATAAAAATACTACATTTGTTACGATCTTTAGTCGCTGAGTGATCAGTCTCACCGAGAAGGGTGCAGCATGTGTTGTGGTGATTGAGAGTGGGAGTTTGTTTCCCTCAGGAATACGTTGTAACAGATACTTATTTTTTCAATTAAAATGTTTGACCCATTTTCTATAAAATGAAATCGTCATTTTTAACCATAACCAAAAGTCCAGGTTATACAGTATATATACACACAGTTGCATTCGTATGGAAAAAAAACCAAACTACATATTTTAAATCCAATGCCTAGGTCTACACTGTTCGCAAGGTTCACTTTATACAAGCCATCTACCAGTTTATAGCGCGAAAAACAAGTATCACACTGGTGGCAGCGGGATGGGATAATAAACGTCGTTCTCCGAAAAAAAAAGAATGTATATAGATTACAAACGCCCCAGCGACATCTTGGAAATACAACACATGCTGTGGTGTCATTAAATCTTGGCGTATGTAAAATAAAAATGATGTTGGTATTCAGTTCAGCTAATAGTAATGATATTAACACAGTTACTCTATGATTACCCAATTACGCTGTTCACACGTTACCGCGGGATACACAGCCTAGATCTTTCTAATTCATATAACTCCACGTCATGCAATGACAGATTACTCTATTGAAAGGCAAATTGAATTCTTATAAAATAATTTTCTTCACGGCGACCTGCGTGTGAAATTATGACCAGAATCAGCAGAGTATAGGGACTGTTCAGCTTCTATTACAAGAGAACACTGAGTTATCTAATGAACAGTAAAGACAAAAAATAATTCGTGAAAATAGCAACAACTTTGAAGGGATTGGAGACAGATCACTGTCACCCTATAGAGCGAATCTGAATGTTGCTTTTTCTGTAATTTGATTTTTATGTCCGATTATATTTTCGGATTTTCAAATATGAAACGGCTTGTTAGTAAACTTCCTCTTTTACAATCGAGTTATCAATTTTTACGTCTGACGCTTCCTTGTTTCAAAGAAAAAAGGATTCCGTGTTTAAAACTAATATATTTTAAAGAAAGGATATTAATCACAGAAAAATCCCATTTTTCTTAAATTTACATAAGGGTGTTTCAGGAGTTTCACTAAATGACGTCACTTATATATCCGGTTTAAGAGGTCACAGCAGTGACATGTCCTACGGCACGAAACGCAAAGACGTATGCATGTCAATCCGCCTGTAAGATAGTAGCCTTTTCTTGGCACAGGCGAAAAGGATAAACAGTTTTAATAACATTTGTCATAATATGCATACACTGCGTCGTAAACATCCTGTGAAACATTGTAATTAGTGAGAAGAAACAGTGGTTAATGAGCACCTTGTTAGCACCTGTCTTCATTAACCCCTGTCTTTTCCTGTAAGTATAGGGCAGCGCCTCGAGAGGAATTGAGAACATTGGCCAGCTATTTAATCCAGCTCAAAGAATTAAGTCAGGTTTTACGAGAATATTGACACGGTTTTTTTCCCGATGCCTGTTGTAATGCTTGAAATTATTTTCCAATATTTTGTTCGTGTTATGTGGAAAACAACCCTTTCTTAAAATTAAAATCAAAAAGTGAAATAAGCATTCCACAAACCAGCCCTTGTTATCCTATGTTTCATCATAAGTGATTTCTTAATTTTGTTATCTGGTTCGAATTATTTTGGAAAATTCGAGCTCAGTACAGTTCGTTGTAAGAATTTGCTGTTACACAATGTCGATTTTGTAGCTTCGTTTATGTAATTGGGATGAATTTGAAACCCAGACACCTGCAACACCGGTTCCTACACCTGGAGGTCACAATGCTTCTAAGATCGAGCAACCGCCGTGTCCTCTTCCTTCACGGAAAAGGATTTCACCTTTTAGATCATCCTTCTGGTACGCCGAAGAACAATGAGTTTCAGCACGCTGCCAGGCACCCTCCACCAACAACAGCACTTTTATTATTTCCTTTTATTAGTTCAATTCGCGGTTTCAGACAGGTGCTTGGTCTGTACATGTGGGCATTAAATGATCGAAAGAAATATAGTGCTTAAGTGTGTTCTAGAACAGCGCCAGGCAAGAACAATACTGATAGATTGATTGGTAGACTGCACTGCGATGGACACATGAATCACACACGTTTAAAAGTACTCGCATGGTAATCTATGACAGCTCTATACCGGTAGTTGATGGACTTCATCACCCAAAGTGCCTAAGGTTATACTCTGATTGCCCATAGAAAAGGCAGTGATAGAGAGTTAAGCACTTATTCATCAAACTCGAGAATTATTATTATTACTAATATTATAAGTTTTATTATTATTGATCTCTGTCTACTACTGAGACGGCCCCGACCAGGTCAGTTTGACATTAGGTTTCCTATGCGAGCTATCTAGTTAACACGTAATTCCCATCGCGACATTTGACACTTTGGCTTGCATGGAGTCATTACTTTAATTCTCCGAGAGAGAAATGTTCTGTGAATATATTTTCATATACATGTATCAATGGGTAGTGATACCGTTTTGATTTTAGAGCTGGGACTTAATATTGAGGGTAACCTATCTGCAATTTTCCTCAGAAATTAAAGCTCACATATCATTGTTCAAACAGTCCTAGCACTCGGATTTGATGCTTTATATCATGACTAATTAAATAATTTAGTTATATATGACTGGCCAATGGCTTAGACCGCCGTGAACTCCTTTACATTCCAGTAAAAAATGGTGACATTAAAAAACTTTTGATAAGATGGATTCCTTTTACTCTGAATTGGCAAAGACATGTACATATGGCGTGTTGCAGAACATGTGGTCGTAGATAGTATTATGACACTGGAACATATTCAAAAGTGTTAGTATACCTTTAAATTTCTACATAAGAATCAAATGTACCATGCAAATTATAGCTTGTGCGAATTAGGGAGATACGCACAGGTCTATGTTCCTGAAATTGGTGAAATAGATCAATACAAACTGTACACTCTACACCGTGTGGTCATCACCTACCTCGTGTACATGTGGCAAGTCTTGCTCTGGCTCAGTTTGACCGATCACCGATGCCCAGTGAAGCAGAAGGCCGACAGCTAAATAGGGGGTTCTTCTGAAACACATCTCAGAGTTTTCCAGTTGTTTTCTGTATAATGCTTCAGCAGTCACTAACTACACGGGGCGTGCTTTCGAACCCTCTTTGAAATTCCATTTCAGTTAAGTAGCTAGCAGTCCTTGAGCGCCAGTTCGTCTCACTTGTGTCATGACCCTACACACCATTGCTTTTTGTGACACCGTTACATTTATCGCGGTCCAAGTGCCTTTGACGTGTTTAAAAGACAAAAGCAAACCAGGCCTATCTTCAAATATCAATTTCTTGAACCGTTGTGTCTCAAACCGACAACTATTGTAACAGTATCGCCGTCTTCACGTGAAACTGTTCACCTTCCATAGATAAAGTCACAAGGTACTGCGTACATATGGCCTTTTATAAAACCTGTTGTTTAGTTTGTGTCACGTCCAATCCTTGTACTGCTGTTGTCTAACTGCAATTATACACTTGCACACACAGTACACGAATAAACGTTTTTGGTATAATTCTCAACCAAATCATCAATATATCTGCAACAGGCATGAGAACTTCTTCACGATGTTTTTCAGAGTAAACCCGACAGTTGCAATTTTCTGAGCAGCTACTTGTAACTACAAGCAGCAACTGAACACGTCTATAAGATACATCGCTGTCGAATGCTTACGAAACTGCAGTAACAGCATTCAGACTTTCTGTTGCGCCAGATGAAATGGCAACTGTTTATTATTTAAATAGCCGTTTCTCGTACTGCAACTAGCTGTCGCTTAAGCACCTGTTTTACCATCGGCAATCGGCGAATGTTTGAATAGATGCAGCTTATTCAGTTTCAGTGCTTTGTGAGCTGATTGGAGCCGTGTGTTCGGAGAGGCTTCCCAGTGGCTGCCGTGATTGCGGTAGCAGGCGTCACCTGGAGGATGTAAAATGAATACAGCAAATCCTTCAATCATATATTAAGTTCCAGTTTCACTGAGGGCCATGTGTAAGATAAGTGTCTGCACTTAATATGTTTTACCTTCTTAAAATAAAGTTTATTATTATTATTATTATTATTATTATCATCATCATTATTATCATTATTATTATTTTTATGTTCCAGGGCCACAGCTTCCTTTGCATCTGTGCGTATATGACGTTGGCCTGACATCCAAGGCGTCTTCACAATCCGTTATTATTTCGATTTTTAGATCTTCTTGGTGGCAATTGCATATCATGTGACAGATAATAGAGAGCTTCCTAAGGAATAATAAGATGAGTGTGATATTTTGGCAACTTACCAGTACCTACCACCTCACGTGCATTATTTGATCGATTGCCTGGAACATTAAAAACAGCGTCGGTTTTTTCAACAGTAATACTAATTTTTATGTTTGCGTTGTTCACATAAAACAATGTATCGTTTTTCTATGCATCTATTTGTTTGTTTGTTTGTTTGTTTGTCAATGTCCTTACCTTGTTAAAAAATTTAACAATATTCACGTTGATTGTATATCTGCTAATATATCACTGGGTATCTTGAACTTGACCTCCAACCGCTAACGTAATCCCAATCGTTTCAATCATCATATTATCCTCACCATAAAAAATACATAACTGTAACCGGTTTTTGTTGCGCCCGAAACGAATAGGCACTGCTGACCAGTATAGTGAAAATGCTACAGTTATTTTAATCCTCGGCAGCCCTGGGTTATTGTCTCTAAATACGATCCGATCGTTGTCGGTCTTGAACTCTTGATGTGGTAAGTAGAAATCGTATCAAAACGACACTAAGGACTAGATGAATGCATCAAAATTGACAAAACTAGAATTACGTTCGTCTTTGAGCAAAATATCACTTGGTGATTCGATCGTTGTTTCTATTCAATGCAGATATTTCCTTATTTATAAAGATTTCGAGCGCTTTATCAAATAGACGCCATAAGCAAATCCAATTACCTTTTCATATTAGACAATCCAGTCCACATTTTACTTTGGGACGTTTTAGGAAACCTATTTAAAACCTAAAGACAAGCAGAATTATTTTTCTACCGAACTACATTTAATTTCCTTCCAGTCCTATGGATATATTTATGACGTATTTGAAGTTTGCGTCATGGTATATTGATTGCTATCATAACATCATAATATCATGTGTATATGTACAGCACATAACGTTTCCGAGTCTGCTATTGCTGTTCTCTTTACTCATAATAAAACAACGCTTTGTTCTCAATGACTGCAGCTTTTCCACGGGAGTGGTACTGTTTCAACGTCATACCGTGCACTAGCTTGGNTTAGATAATTTAAAGTTATTAAAACACGATTTTAATCCTTATTTTCATTTATCAGTCCGCAAAATAGGAAAAAACTGATAAAAAATTATTTCGAAAAAAATATTCCATATTAAATGTCAAGTCTGTATATACTTCCAACGAAGAATCAAAACGGGAACTGCATCTCAATGCTGAAATCCCGAACATCATTATTAGTTGAGAGCATGCAGAATACTAGCTCACCAAGTTGCGTTTCACAAAGAGTCTTCAAGGATTTTATGTTTCTCAGTCCCAAAAATAAGCCTGAAAATTAAAAAAAATTAGCTTTCTTTACTGAGAGTGCGAGGCAGGTTAAAGATTCAACCGCCCATTAAACTAAGCAACAAGGGTTAATACATCAAATATGACTTCTATAGCATATAATATTTGGCGTGGGTATAATTGATTCTTCAAGCTACTTTTCATTTTTTTATCGGACATTTCATTTAAATACCGTGGTGCATATGTTTTACTAGTTGACCGCCAGAGGGCAGTCCAACGTTATCTCCCAAGACAGTATAGTAGATGATAAAAATCGATAGATATCAACATACCACCTAATCTCGATGGAAAAGGTTAACAACCAAGCAATAACAATCTTGATAATAAAGGCAATGTATTGCCTAGTCAGCACTTGCTGTACACCATCGATGTTATCGTGGCGTGTCTTCTATCGGAACCAGTCTCAAGACGCGCCCCTGGACCAATAAAGCTAATGGCTTTCTGATTTCAAATGGCCAAGATACCTCCGCCCCCCCCCGCCCCACAAAAAAAAAAAAAAAACTTTTTTGTCAGGTAGTTTGCTCAGAATGCGCTGTCGTTTCATCCAAAGATCAATATATTTTTCAACTTATCTGTATGTTTTCTGAATAAACATAAACATAATTGACGCCAAGACAGCGGTATTTTACTCCTTTGTTTTACTTGAGGTAAAGCTCCCTGGCTCCGTAAATGATCCCTAATCATAAATAATGTTTTGAAGCCTGTATTAACAACCCAGTGTGGGGTCATCCCGTGTTTCTATATCTTGATTTACGTGTATTTAAAGCCACACAGCAAAGCATTTTATTTTTCTGGAAAATCAGCAATGTTTCCCTTACCACCAAAGCAACCTCTATCCAACACCGTTGGGACAATTATAAACCGATTTTTGAACTCTTAATGTCCCATTTCTTCCGCCACGAGTGAAATTTCCCAGTCCACTTCTCCACTAGGAGAGTATCCGACAGTTAAGAAACTCAGAAATAATATGCCTTGGTGATTAAGAGAAACGTATTGAAATTTCCAAGAAAATAAAATGAGCGATAAATGGGAAATTGCGTTTCCAAGAAATTTCATTTTTGCTACTCGAACGATCATTGTGGGTCTTTATTATATTGGCAATGCATTATCTCTGTTCAGGAGCATTAACTTTTTATCCGTTTAGTCATTCCCATTAGCCTGTCCTACAGAATATTAAACCACCCTCTATTTTCTTCTCCAAAATCATTTTCATATAGAAAGGATGACACCCGTCAGTTTCAATCTATGCATTAATCGATATGAGCATTGGCACTACGTGTCATTTGAAATTGAAGATTGGTAACAGGTCATTCTCCTCACCGCGAAGGAAGGATGCTAGACTTTTCAGCATTCAAATGGCAATAATAATGATATGCCTAGATATTTCTACATGTAATGATATATGTTACAATTGTTGGAAGTCTGTGCTATTATTGATACCACTGTATTTTTGCGTTACAAAAAGTAATTAAAGAAGTTAATTTTTAAAAGTTAATTGAGCAAATAAATCATTGGAGAAGTACGGAATTGCGACTTATTTTATCTAAATCTCTACTCATGCCAAAAGATTTCAAGAGATCACAAAAGAGGTATTTTGCATTTAACGAGGAATAGATTCAGTAGTGTGATGGATATTTTTCATTTGTGTGGACAATGATACACCCTAAGCATGAGATTAAACATTTTGTGGACCGAGGAGGAGGAAAAGCCTCTGATCGCTACTTGCTATATCACCGTCTCTCTGCATAACGCAAGTTTTTTTGCAGATAACCATAAACTACTTGATTTACATATAAAAAGCCGAATTCAAGATAACAAACTGAGACGTATTATTTCGACGTTGATGAACTTTTTCTTTCAGGTATCCTGGTGATAAGATTTCGATACATTCGGCGTGGCCTCTGTGTAGGCACATCGGTCTGGGCATTGCTCCATAAATCTGTGCTGAGCGTTCCGTGTCACACAATACTCTGTCTGGCAATGTCTGTTTTTTTTTTCGCGCCATTCTGGCACAGATTAACAATGTTGTAAAACACTGCTTAGCTCATTTTACGCACTGCAAAACCGACCGCTTGCACGCAAAATTTCAAATTCTTCTATGCAGTAGCTGTCGACATATGAACACTTTTTTGTCGAAGCCAGCCGAAAGGAGCACTACCTAATTAAATCACTGCATATTACGCAATGCTACAGTCATGGTAGTAAGTTAATTGGTAGCGACACACCTGACTGCACACTTCTCCATTCACATATCTTATGTGAGATCTTAGTTTTTTGAAAAAAAGAACGCATTTTTACCTATGCATACCTTTAAAGGCAAAATATTCCATATTGAATTTTAATTCTGTTCCTAGAAAATTAACTGGGAATGCATCTGAATACAAAATTTCAAATGAACGGATAAGTAAACGTTGACATATATTGGGGCATTGGGGATCTCTTTCTAGGCGAAATTCGCACAAGTAATTTTTCGCATATCGTAAAGGCGATTATAGTTATAAAACAGATATCTTAAAATCAAAGACAAAAGCACGAGAACCACGTAAAGGAATATACGTACATGAGCCCTCTTCAGCTGATGGATAATATATTTCCACTGCAGCTCTTTTCACATGAAGTCCCAATTGGTTTCTACGTAGATGGGCAGATGCAATCCTATTACATCGTTAACTGCAGTCATCCTTTGTGGTAAAAGCAAGGCGATTGTTAATGTCACGAATATATATATTGTCTCATAAATTCTGTCAAATAATCGCTGCTAAACGTGACAGGATATGACAACCCGTTGGCTTAAATGTTAATTTTGATCCAGGCGGCGTCTCTTCTCTCTGCAGATTCCTAGTAAACTGTTTGGGAGCCCTGACTGTGCTAATGATAACGCGACCCACGTTTGATAGTGTTAAATGTACGGAGGGCACCGTCACGTGCTGGCGCATGAAAAATTACCAAACCACATCGAGCAGATCATATCACAGCTAGCTTTAAGATTCTATTTGAAGTGGCGTGTGTTCTTTGATCTAGGTTTTAGCAAAAGTCATAATTCATTAAAGATTCCGTCTGTCGGGTTTTAAAATGAATACAATGCAGTTTGGAACTGCCCATCGTCAAAAAAATCTTAAAATGTGTACACTTGGATTCAATAATTGTACATTCAGGTTTTAAACACCTATGGTAGACCATATCTTGACCGGGGCCACAGGAACATTTGAACACGACATGCACAGACATTTCTATGGCTCTTTATTACCTGTTCTCCCGCGAGAATATTTTGCACGACTGCAAATTCACTCAGTCTCTTTATGTGGCATTGAGAAATTAATTTTAACGGTACCAGTGAAAGTCTCAATGGAGACAGGGACTATTGGATTTCATTCTTGACAGTTCCCGGAGCTGAACGATTTTGGATAGGGGAAACCTCGCAGAAAACAAAATTGTTGAAATTTTAATAAAAATTTCTTCGTATTTCCTGGTATATAAATTAAAAACGCATTAAACGCATTGTCTTAAAATGAGGATGAAAACCCCTTCCTTAATCATTGCAGATGTAAAAATCTCTTTCTCTCGGGTAATCACGCAGAAGTGTCACTACAATCGCCTTGGGAAATTCAATAAATTGCTTGAACCAGTACACACGTACTGGAAAACGTTTGGCATTCGACAGAAACATTAATCGGAATAAATCCCTATTATAATTATAATTATAATAATAATAATTATTATTA